GAGATAATCACTCAAGCTGTAGACCTCAGGTGAGACAATCATTCAAGCTGTAGACCTCAGATGAGAGAATCACTCAAGCTGTAGGCCTCAGGTGAGACAATCACTCAAGCTGTAGACCTCAGGTGAGACAATCACACAAACTGTAGACCTCGGATGAGACAATCACTCAAGCTGTAGACCTCAGGTGAGACAATCACTCAAGCTGTAGACCTCGGATGAGACAATGAGACAAGCTGTAGACCTCGGATGAGACAATCACTCAAGCTGTAGACCTCAGGTGAGACAATCACACAAACTGTAGGCGTCAGGTGAGACAAGCACACAAGCACATGAGATAATCACAAACTGCTGTAGACCACACAAGCTGGATGAGATAATCACTCCTCAAGCTGTGTAGAGATGAGACAATCACTCAAGCTCAGGTGAGACAATCATTCAAGCTGTGTAGACCTCAGGTGAGACAATCACTCAGATGATGAGACAATCATCAAGCTGTAGACCTCGGATGAGACAATAACTCAAGCTGTAGACTTCAGGTGAGCCAATCAGGTGAGACAATCACACAATCAAGCTGTGAGACCTCGGAGGTGAGACAATCACTCACAATGAGACTGTAGACCTCGGATGAGACAATCACTCAAGCTGTAGACCTCAAGCTGCTGTAGACCTCAGGTGAGACAATCACTCAAGCAAATGAGATAATCACTCAAGCTGTAGGCCTCAGGTGAGACAATGCACACCAAGCTGTAGCTGTAGACCTCTGGATGAGACAATCACTCATGAGCTGCTAGACCTCAGGTGAGACAATCACTCAAGCTGTAGACTGTGAGGCGTCCTCGGAGGTGCTGTAGACCTCAGGTCAGCAATCACTCAAACTGTAGGCTTCAGGTGAGACAAGCACACAAGCTGTAGACCTCGGATGAGATAATCACACAAACTGTAGGCCTCAGATGAGACAATCACACAAGCTGTAGATCTCAGGTGAGACATTCACAGAAGCTGTAGACCCCATGTGAGACAATCACACAAGCTGTAGATCTCAGGTGAGACAATCACACAAACTAGGCGTCAGTCGAGACAATCCACACAAGCTGTAGACCTCACGTGAGGCAGTCACACAAACTGTAGGCCTCAGGCGAGACAATCACGCAAGCTGTAAAAATCAGATGAGACAATCCCACAAGCTGTAGATCTCAGATGAGACAAGCTGTAGGCCTCAGGCGAGACAATAACGCGAGCTCCAAATCTAATATGAGATAATCACACAATCTCCAGATCCATACTGAGCCAGTGACACAAGCCCTAGGCATTAGATAAGACAATGAAACAGGTTCTAAATTTAAGATGGCAAAATGATAATGTAGACATCAGGTGAGACAATTACACAAGCTGTAGATCTCAAGTGAGACAGTTACACAAGTTGTAGATCTCAGGCGAGCCAATCACACACGCTGTAGACCCCAGGTGAGACAATCCATCAAGCTGTAGACCCCAGGTGAGACAATCACTCAAGCTGTAGACCCAGGTGAGACAGTCACACAAGTTGTAGATCTCAGATGAGACAATCACACAAACTGTAGACCTCAGGTGAGACAATCACACACACTGTAGACCCCAGGTGAGAAAAATCAGTCAAGCTGTAGACCTCAGGTGAGACAATCACACAAGTTGTAGACCCCAGGTCAGACAATCACACAAGCTGAAGACCTCAGGAGAGACAGCCACACAAGCTGGAGACAGTGACACAAGCCCTAGGCCCTAGGTGAGACGATGAAACTTCTTTCTACTTAAAATGAAACAAAGAAGGAGGTTCTGAACCTAAGATGGCACAATGATAATGTCACAAGACGTTAGTGTAGGCAAATGACACTCCCTATGAACCCGACAGTTTCCCAGATGCTATATTCGACTAATATCATCTCAGGTCGTATTTGCAGTTTTTCATATGGATGCATCTGTTTTCCAGTTAAATTATTGAAAAGAGAAACCAAAACCAGATTTGAGTGAGCTCCGTTCGTTCCTGTACTCGATCTGTTCTCATAGAAACCTGAACATAGCATGCCAGGTGTAACCATCTGCTCTGTGTTGTCTATTTTCATCATTGAAATTGCGCCCCCTCGTGGAAGGTCTAGACATGGCACTTCCGGTTGTAGTTACTAGCAGGAAACTTGAACAATATCAGGTCGTCCATGACTACTAGCTTCCGTCATGTGTCGTTCGTCAGTGTAATTGATGCGGGTTTGGTCATTAGGAGGAGGGATTGCAAGATTCGTGTTCTCCTGATCATCGCGATGCGTGATTGTTGTAGGTCTTATCCTTGGGGTGCATGATTCTTGTAGGTCTTATCCTTGGGGTGTGTGATTGTTGTAGGTCTTAACCTTGGGGTGCGTGATTCTTGTAGGTCTTATCCTTGGGATGTGTGATTCTTGTAGGTCTTATCCTTGGGATGCGTGATTGTTGTAGGTCTTAACCTTAGGGTGCGTGATTCTTGTAGGTCTTATCCTTGGGGTGCGTGATTGTTGTAGGTCTTATCCTTGGGGTGCGTGATTCTTGTGGTTCTTATCCTTGGGATGCGTGATTCTTGTGGTTCTTATCCTTGGGATGCGTGATTGTTGTAGGTCTTATCCTTGGGGTGAGTGATTCTTGTAGGTCTTATCCTTGGGGTGCGTGATTGTTGTAGGTCTTATCCTTGGGATGCGTGATTGTTGTGGTTCTTATCCTTGGGGTGCGTGATTGTTGTATTATTTGGGGTGCGTGATTGTTGTCTTATCCTTGGGGTGTGTGATTCTTGTAGGACTTATCCTTGGGATGCATGATTCTTGTAGGTCTTATCCTTGGGGTGTGTGATTGTTGTAGGTCTTAACCTTGGGGTGTGTGATTGTTGTAGGTCTTAACCTTGGGGTGCGTGATTCTTGTAGGTCTTAACCTTGGGGTGCGTGATTGTTGTAGGTCTTATCCTTGGGGTGCGTGATTCTTGTGGGTCTTATCCTTGGGGTGCGTGATTCTTGTTGGTCTTATCCTTGGGGTGCGTGATTGTTGTTGGTCTTATCCTTTCGGGTGCGTGATTCTTGTGGGTCTTATCCTTGGGGTGCGTGATTGTTGTAGGTCTTCACTTTGGGGTTGTGATTGATGTAAGTGCTTCCCTGTCGTATATACCACTATTGTATGGTTCAGTATTGAAAATGTACCACATAAAGTAGAATATATTACAGGGTATGCTTATCATGTACTATGAACCACTAATGTATCTTTGATCCATAGAGATCATCAGCAGTGTATATTTGATCAAAGAAAACAGGTTGTCCAGGAGGTATATCCAAGTCTATCAACACAACTGGTTTTGCCTTGTGACGCCATAAGGAACTTAGGGTCGACACTCAAATCGGACACTACTTCCAGTAGACAAACACATAGGACACTACCTACAGTAGACAGACACATAGGACACTACATACAGTAGACAGACACATAGGACACTACACTACAGTAGACAGACACATAGGACACTACCCTACAGTAGACAGACACATAGGACACTACCACACAGTAGACAGACACATAGGACACTACCTACAGTAGACAGACACATAGGACACTACCTACAGTAGACAGACACATAGGACACTACCTACAGTAGACAGACACATAGGACACTACCTACAGTAGACAGACACATAGGACACTACCTACAGTAGACAGACACATAGGACACTACCTACAGTAGACAGACACATAGGACACTACCTACAGTAGACAGACACATAGGACACTACCTACAGTAGACAGACACATAGGACACTACCTACAGTAGACAGACACATAGGACACTACCAGTACAGTAGACAGACACACATAGGACACTACCTACAGTAGACTACACTACCTAGTAGACAGACACACCTACAGTAGACATGGGGAGAATACACAGTAGACAAAGACATAGGACACCTACAGTAGACTTCAGACACAGACACTACCTACAGTAGAGGAGACACATATGACAATGCCTACAGTAGACAGACACATAGGACCTACAGTTGACAGACACATAGAACACGGCCTCTAGTAGAGCTACATGCTAAAAAGCTACACGCGTTTTTTATCTTTCCAACAGGTAACCCTTCGTGACTTTTCTCGTATGCCAATTTTGATTTTGATACAATATGATATTCCATGTGGCGTTATTAACGTCTGGCTGTCGTTGTGACAAGATTGGCATTGTTTCCCCTCTAGCCCCGTCTCCCGAAACACATCGTCACTTAGCGACGACAGCAACGATGGAACACCAAGACGAGAGGAACGCATGGACGGTAAGAAGCTAATTGACTCTCAAACTGCCGAAACAGGATCAAAGTCGACCTGAGCCTGCTGTTGTGTTCGTTAACCCTACAAGGAGAGTACAGCGACATCACGAAACGGCTGTCAACGTGACCCTCTTCTTCCCACGACGACATCCAACGCTGTTCCCACACAACTCCGGTAACTGTGTTATTACTCCAGGGCCCCGTTTCACAAAGCTATTGTAGCGCTACGCCTGTCGTAAGTCTATACTAGAGTATAGGAGGTGTGATTGCTACGAGAAACGTTACGAGATCTTAGACTTACGACAGTCACGATAGCGCTAAGGTGATCGTAACTCCCATATTTTAACATAGACTTACGGCTGTCGTAGCGCTCCTAAGGTAGCGCTCCGATCGCTTTGAGGAACGGGGCCCTGGATGGTAGCGCTCGAACTGGCAGTGTTCCGTTTGTTTACGATACAGCCAAATGTTTCAGGGCACACATTCACCACCTACGGAGTTTGAATTCCTTTTAAAACTGAAAAGGAGCCCCAGTGAGAAGGGAGATTCAGAGGAAATCTAGGCTTGCTTCATTTAGGGCTTAGCTTTGCAGAGAAGCCGCGGTTACATCTTACGGTCATGAACGTTGTTGATAGTGATTCATTTGAACGTAGGTCACCGTAGTGCCACTACGGTGAACTGGATTCAAGTAGGGTGAAGTAGGTTGGAGGTAGTAGTAAACCGTTGTTTTATCGCAGTGCCATGTTACCATCGTGTACTACGGTCAACACAACGATGCAATAGGGTCAAGTACGGTCTACTAGGGAGAACTATGGACAACCACTCCGGTAACAGTAGGGTTTTGGCATTCAAGCTAACTGTAGAGATATTGTGAACATGTTGAAAGGTTTTGGTCTAACCACGGCCAAATCATGGGTTTGCTGAAGTTCAAAGTACGGTCATAACTACGGCGATCTACGTTGAACTACGCTTAAATACGTCCAACTACGTTTAAATACGTCTAACTACGTTTAACTAAGGTCAAATATGGTCTACTACGGTCTACGACGTTGATCCCCTACTACGGTCAACTACGTTCATCCCCTACTACGGTCTACTACGTTCATCCCCTACTACGGTCAACTACGTTCATCCACTACTACGGTCAACTACCTTCATCCCCTACTACGGTCTACTACGTTCATCCCCTACTACGGTCTACGACGTGCTTGTCCGTAACATGTGACCGCTCCTAAAGGGTTAGGCAGATGGGAAAATGACGCAATTCGGGGACTGTGAGACGGACTGAATAGGCTTGCCACTCTCCTACCCAGAGTTCCATGCGGCAAGCCAGCATAGTACCTCTGCCACAGGCCAGAAAAATGTGGCGATTCGTCACATCTTGCAATGTCCATTCAATATAATGTACAGATTTCTTTTACTCTTTTATTTTTGACGAGTCTACACATCTAACTAAACATCTTTAATAGAATGGTTTAGTTTCACTGAGAAAATATCCAAAAACATGTAACACTATTTCGATTTGCTAAGCGATCCTTTGTTTACATAGGTTGTACGGCTCCACGTGCTGTCATCGAAGCTGATGGAGAGCAAACGATGCAGCCAGTTTGATATCTAAATATGTACTGTCATAGACCTTACTGTGGCAGTTATGGAAGAATATATATGTAACAATGTAAAACATTATGAAGAGAGCACCGAAAAGCTTTCGTGAGTCCAGTCTCTTCTTATTATGAATATGCGCGTTTGATTACAAACAAGAGAAAAGTCCGGTCACGTGATATGCAAATTAGCCTGTGGCAGTGATATGTTAAGTCATCGCTGTGCCGGAGTGTGTAGGCTTGCAAGTTCAAATGGGAAACAGAGAGATCAAAATTTAGCGATGTCTATGTCCGATCGCGTGCATTCAATTCAATTCTTTTATTACAGAAGTGTAGGCCATCGGCCCATAACTACATAGGTTACATTTACATGGCAAAACATGGTGTGTACGTCGAGCATGTGCGGCGCCATATTGTTTTTAATTGTTGTTGATTTCTAATTCAGATAGACAACTCGCTCAAAAACATTGGACTCAAACCATACCCTTTTACTCAGATTGAATGTGTTGGTTTCTGATTGATCTGCCATGGGTTCCTAAATCGATTCAGCTTAGTTAAATGTTCAGTTGACCTAGCTCTGAAATATAAACACTGTGTATGTATTTCATAATTCACTCTGTTACTGAAATATAAAAATCAATTATTTTATTGATCACAACTTTCTTATTGATTCTCACAGCTCTACGGGCTCAGCTCTTCTAATATACAAAGATAACAAGATAACAGGGAAACCAATAGGATTACCGAGACAAGGTGAGCTGGTCAGGGAAGGCTTTGTGATTGAGCTGGGATGGAAAAGAGCTTACTGGGACAATATGCCAGTATAACAATAGGATCGGCAATGATGACGGTACAGCACAGCTGATCATACGAGAATATCTCCAGAAATCCATCTGAAAAAATGAGGAGACACCGGATTCATAAAAAGTATTATGTTAAACATGTCTATTTCAAATTGATTTGCTTGTCAGTAGTTAAAGATTAGGAGCCTGAAGAAAGCTATCTAGCGTGTGTAAACTATTCATGATAAAGTTCTAACCTGGAAAGAATATTTTATAAATGTTCGTACAAATTACTAGAATTTGTGTTTTCTACCTGATCCGATTGCTCAGATCAAAGCTGTTTATGAGACTGTGATTTTGTTGTAATGTATAATTCAGTTCATCCCAGTGAATGGCTGTCTTCTTTCTTTCAGTTGCTTTGTGTGTTTTTTAACGAGCTATAAAAGATGTGTTTATTGCGAAATGTATATAATTTCATAATTATCTGTATTTAGTTACCTGCAATCCATTGCATAATTCACTGAAACAAGTTCGCTGTTAATTAAAGTACCTTCCATATATACAAACTCAACATTGCTGGCAGGAAGTTATTCCACGTTGCGATGCTTCAACTCACAAGGGTTCTTGGGAATGAGTTTACATGATTAAAAACAAGCATCAATTGCACATTGCTGACTTTCGGCCATCAGTCAATCTGCTGTCTTCTTTCTTCCTACTGAAGATACTACTCCAGTGAATGCAGAGCGGAATCAACAAGATGCGCCACCGGCAGGTGCCTCTACTTCCCCCAAGAGGTATGCTTATCTCCCTGCCCTCGGCCCCGCAGTAATATACCACGTCGCCACACTCTGCGGCAGTCGTATCTCACAGTGCCAGATAATCGACATGGGGTGATCCTAATTTCCAGGGAATGGCACTCTGCCTGCAGTAATTATACAGACACTGTAGCCCCTGCCCCCGGGCTGCTTGTTTCAGGGAGGGTCACCCTCAAGTACAGCTTGTTAGTGGTGATTCAGGGTAAGGTTTGTGCATCATTTCATGGATGGTGTTGTATTTGGTGCCTACGTCCATATGCAGTCAATTCTCGTAGTGTCGAACTCACGGTTGTGTCGAAGTGAAATCGCGGTGTTCAAGTATTCTTTCTATATTCTTATATTTGTCGGTTGTGTCGAACCCCAGAAAACTCGATGTGTTATCGCATATGTATGTAATACATATTTTACAGTTTTGTCTGTTGGTAGTTCTGAAACCGCTGTTGTGGCCTAGTGGATACAGCGTCAGCCCGGAAGCTAGGTGGTTCGATTCCCGGACGTGAACTTGTTGTAACCCTGTCATGTTTGGTTTTAATATGAGTTGAAATGAAATAGCCGTGTTCAAGTATTCTTTCTTTATCCATATATTTGTCGGTTGTGTCGAAGTGAAATCGCGGTGTTCAAGTATTCTTTCTTTATCCATATATTTGTCGGTTGTGTCGAAGTGAAATCGCGGTGTTCAAGTATTCTTTCTTTATCCATATATTTGTCGGTTGTGTCGAAGTGAAATCGCGGTGTTCAAGTATTCATTCTTTATTCATATATTTGTCGGTTGTGTCGAAGTGAAATCGCGGTGTTCAAGTATTCTTTCTTTATCCATATATTTGTCGGTTGTGTCGAAGTGAAATCGCGGTGTTCAAGTATTCATTCTTTATTCATATATTTGTCGGTTGTGTCGAAGTGAAATCGCGGTGTTCAAGTATTCTTTCTTTATCCATATATTTGTCGGTTGTGTCGAAGTGAAATCGCGGTGTTCAAGTATTCATTCTTTATTCATATATTTGTCGGTTGTGTCGAAGTGATATCGCGGTGTTCAAGTATTCTTTCTTTATCCATATATATTTCGGCTGGACAACTGGAAGTGTTTCCGTGTATGCATGTAATGCATATTTTACAGTTTTGTCTGTTGGTAGTTCTGAAACCGCTGTTGTGGCCTAGTGGATACAGCGTAAGCCCGGAAGCTAGGTGGTTCGATTCCCGGACGTGAACTTGTTGTAACCCTGTCGTGTTTGGTTTTAATATGAGTTGATAAAACTAGGACCGGTCGGCTCTGTGTTTCAGCCACCATTGAGAACTGGCGTCAATAGGGCAGTGTGTACTGACATCCGGTACGTCATAATGTACTGACTCCATGTACGGCATTTATGCTGACGTCATTTGCGACATTGTGACACCAAGCATGGCACTGTGTACTAACGTCATGGGTAATTAGTGTGTAATTATTGTTTTCTGACGTCATGTGCTGCAATGTGTACTGAAGTTATCAACAACACCGTGTACTACCGTCATGTGAAACATTGTTTACTGACATCATACAAGTCGATGTGTACTGACGTCATCAGGGTGTAGCTACCATTATAGAAAAAGCCCGGGCTTACACGAGATTCTTGGTAAAAAGGTTGGACAAGCCCTCAATACTATCTAAATATATAGCTTTGCAACCTATCAGGCTTACACGAAAAAAATGGCTTGCTACGCGCCTGGTCATGTTCAATAGTGTGTACTCAAGTTATTTACAGTAATGCGTTCTGACGTAATTGACAAAACTGTTTCCTTACAATATTTGCGACATTGTGTACTGACGTCATTTAGGTCATTTACAACATTGTGTACGTGCACACTGTACGGTATTGCGTACTAACGTCCGAGATGATAGTGTATACTGACTCCATGTGTTGTGACCCGGTGTTGTTTATGACACTGACGTCATATCCGGTAGGGCACACCGGCTTTGTCATACTGTTTTGTCCCGCCCACGATAGCTAGGTCAGCAAATGGTACCCGGCTTTCTCCACTTAGCACACTTTATTGTTTTAAAAGCCTATCACACTGTAAACTACACGAGGCCCATCTCATCAAGACCGACGTGTTTACTGCAAGACTTAATGTGCTTTAGTAAGTGAAGTGCTCGCTCTTCCCGCTCGCCAACACTCCTCAATAACACAAACATTTTCACACCTGTTGAAACCCTGCCAGATTGATTCAAGCTGCTGAAACTCCATCTCCGCCACCTTTTCCCAGACCATCACCAACGTACGCCCAAGGGACCACGGTGTCGAAACAGATATAGATGGATGTGTTGATGAAGCGGCACTAATTACCCTACCTTGGGACGGTACATTGTGGCACGATGTGGCGTTCATGCTGTTAGTGATTCTACTTAGTCCAGCAACTCTACCGGCAGAGGGATTTAGTGCGCATGTGCGAAATATTACCGTTTTAATGGCGACACATAAGTGTGAAACAATAAATAAGGTAAACTGCCTCCCGTTAGCTGGGTGCAATGCATAGCTGATGTCGTGGTCGGGTTGCTCAAGTGGGTGTATTATGTTCTGATGAGTCAGGTAATTGAAGGTGT